TTGGCATTTTTATTGGAATTGTGTTAAATTTAATGACTAAATCAAGGAGAATTTGCATTTTTTAATGTTGATTCTAGTTATCCACAAACATGTTTTATAAGCATTTTAAAGCTTCTTCTAATACATCACTCATTATTCTTATTAAATTTATTCCTTGATGTTTTGTCCCTTTTGTTGTTAACATGGAAGTATTAGTTTGCTAGGGCTGCCAAAACAAGATACACAAACTGGGTTGCTTAAACACAGTTATGGAGGTTGGAACTCCAAGTTCAAGGTGCCAGCACAAGATCAAGGTGCTAGCACAGTTGATTTCTCTGAGGCCTCTCTTCTTGGCTTGTGTATGGCTGCTGACCCTTTTACGCTTTCTTCACATGTGTTTTTTTTTTCTGTGTGCGTTCATCCCTGTGTCTATGTGTCCAAATTTCCCCTTCTTGTAAGGACATCAGTCCGATTGGTTTAAGGCCCACCTATAAAATTTCATTTAATCCTAATTACCTTTTAATTTATTTTTTATTGATTTCAGAGAATAAAGGAGTGGGGAGAGAGAGATAGAAACATCAATGATGAGAGAGAATCATTGATCGGCTGCTTCCTGCACACCCCTCACTGGAGATTGAGCCTGCAACCTGGGCATGGGCCCTGCCAGGAATCAAATCATGACCTCTTGGTTTCATAGGTCGATGCTCAACCACTGAGCAACACCAGCTGGGCCTAATTACCACTTTAAAGACTCTGTCTCCAAACAAATCACATTCTGAGGTACTGGGAGTTATGGCTTCAACATATGAATTTTAGGGGGACACAGTTCATTCCATAACAATGGCAAATAAAGAATTTTCTTTCTTTTACCTAGTAACTGTTAATTTGTATATCTGAAAGTGATTTCAGTATTTTATTTTGCACCTAGTCATATTGCTTCTGATTTATAATAGTTTTTACTTTATTCACTTAAAATTAGGTTATCTGTGCCCAGCCGACGTGGCTCAGTGGTTGAGCGTCGACCTCGACCTATGAACCAGGAGGTCACAGTTTGATTCCCAGTCAGGGCACATGCCCAGGTTGTGGACTTGACCCCCAGTGTGAGGCATGCAGGAGGCAGCCAATCAATGATTCTCTCGCATCATTTATGTTTCTATCGCTCCCTCCCTCTCCTTTCCTCTCTGAAATTAACAAAAATACATTTTTAAAAATTACATTATTTGTAAATAATCATTTTCTCATCCTTTATAGTTTTTATACCTTTTTTTTGTCTAATTGCAGTCAGAACTATTGATACAAGGTTAATTAAGAGTAGTAAGAGTAGCCGAAACCGGTTTGGCTCAGTGGATAGAGTGTCGGCCTGCGGACTGAAAGGTCCCAGGTTCGATTCCGGTCAAGGGCATGTACCTGGGTTGCGGGCACATCCCCAGTGGGAGATGTGCAGGAGGCAGCTGGTCGATGTTTCTGTCTCATCGATGTTTCTAACTCTCTATCTCTCTCCTTTCCTCTCTGTAAAAAAATCAATAAAATATAAAAAAAAAAAAAAAGAGTAGTAAGAGTAGATCCTCTTGTATTCCTGACTTTAATGAGACTAGTAACTTCTGGTGTTGCCATTAAACATGGTACTGGCTTTTGGAATAACATAGATTTATTTTGTCACTGTAAGGGCATATCTTCTATTTTTATTTTATTACAATGTTTAATAAATGGATATTTATTATAATTTAAAAAACAATTATGGATAATTTTATCAAATTCCTTTTTGGCATACATAGAAATGATTGTATATGTTTTCTCTTTGATCCAATAATGTAGCGAATGTATGAATCAGTTTCCTAATATTGAACCATCCTTGCTTTTCTATATTTGGTTATGACATATTCTTTTTAAATTTATTTATTGATTTGAGAGAGAAGAAGGGGGAGAGAGAGAAAGAAAGAGAAACACTGATTCATTTTACACTTATTTATGCATTCATTGCTTGATGCCTTGACTCCTGGATTGAACCCGCAACCCTGGTGTATTGGGGCAACACTATAACCAACTGAGCTACCTGGCCAAGGCTATGACATTTTCTTTGAATTTTCTGTTTGCATAAACATCTATAGATTTATTGTTTTATCAAATCTATTGAGTTAGGCACAATTTTATTCTTGCTTCAGGGGTCAGTTTTTTGTTTTTGTTTTTTACTCTCACCTCAGGATATATTTTCTATTGATTTTTTTTAGAGAGAGTGGAGGGAAGGAAGGAGGGGGAGAGAGAGAGAGAGAGAGAGAGAGAGAGAGAGAGAGAGAGGAGAGAGAGAAACAATGTGACAGACATCAATTGGTTGCCTCCTATCTGCACCCCAACTGGGGCTGGAGATCGAGCCTGCAACTGAGGTATGTGCCCTTGACCAGGAATCGAACCCAAAACCCTTCATTACATGGGCTAGCGCTCTAACCCTGAGCCAAATTGGCCAGGGCTATGGTTAGTTTTGTTTATATTATCTTATTATTTGTTTTCATTCATTTCTAAGTTTATTCGCATGCAATTGAGCAAAGTAATCTCTTAATATTATTTTAGTTTTGTCTTTTGTAGCTGTTTACTTACCATTTCTGCGTGTGTATATGCACATGAATTCTTTTCTTTCCTTTGTTGTTGTTTTTTAAATATATTTTTATTGATTTTAGAGAGAAAGGGAGAGATAGAAATATCAATGACAAGAGATAATCATTGATGGGCTGCCTCTTGGATGCCCCCTGCTGGGGATTGAGCCCACAACCCGTGCATGTGCCCTGACCTCCTGGATCATAGGTTGACACTCAACCACTGAGCTTCCCTATGTTGTTTTGATTGGGCTGCAGTGGTTTTCAACCTTCCTAATGCCGTGACCCTTTAATACAGTTCCTCATGTTGTGGTGACCCCCAATTTCATTGTTATAAATTGAACATAATTAAAGCATAGTGATTAATCACAAAAACAATATGTAATTATATGTGTTTTTTCTGATGGTCTTAGGCGACCCCTGTGAAAGGGTCGTTTGACCCCCAAAGGGGTCGCGACCCACAGGTTGAGAACCGCTGGGCTAGAGGATGGTTATTTATTATGTTTTTCAAATAACCAGCTTTGGGGTTTATTAATTGATTTTGTCTTCTAATTTATTTATGTTATCTTTATTAATTCATTTGATTTCTTTTTAGGTTTACTTTATTGATAGATAATACAATTAATATTCCTAGTTAGTCATTAGTCTATTAATTTGATTTATAGTTTCTTGTTCTACAGAAGTTTTAAGTTTTTAGTAATCAAAACTATCAGCCTTTTTCTTTTATAACTTCTTTGTTTCATATTATTCTTCTAAAAAGGCTTCACACCCTCCATTATAAAAATGCTTTACGATTTTCATAGATTTATGATTTTTTTTAACTTTCTATAATTTATTTTTCCTTACTATTTGGGGTGGTGTTTAAATTATTTTGTTTCCAGGTAGATTGCCAACCATTCCTACATCACTTATTAAACAATCTGTCTTTTCCTCATTTATTTGAAATACTTATATACCTAACTTTTTATATCTTGTGAAAAATCCTATTGATCTTTTCAGATTATAGGATTATTTTGGGGAATAATTAAATTGACATCTTTAAAACATTGAGTCTTTACATGTAGAAATATGGAATATTTCTCTGTTTACTTCAGTTTTTCTGTGTCCTTCAGTGTTTTATCATTTTCTTATTAGGTTTATTCCTAGGTGTCTTATAGTTTTTGTTAAGATTATAAATTAAATGGTTTTCATTATTTTTCTTATCTGGTTATTGATATATTTTGATTTTTCTATATTAATCTTGTCCAACTTAAGTTACTGAACCCTTTGACTGTTTCTATTTGTTTTTTTAGTTGATTCTCTTGGATAGTCTTGTTGTCTCTTTGTTCCCAGTACTTACACTGTGTTTTTAAGTTTTGCTTCTGGCAGGGTATCTCATTGACTCGACTTGGTCTTCCGGAGTGGTTGCTCTATTCTTCTTAGTTCCAGAGGACAGAACTAGAACAGATAGGCAGAAAGCTAGAGCTATTTGAACATGGAAGAAAAGCTGATGTGACAGTAGTAATGTCAGATAAAATACAATGTAAAGTGAAGACTACTCATAAAGCAACATAAGCAGCTAGAGCATTATTGAATTTAGGTATCACCTCACATAGGCTTGAAAATAAAAACTGACAAGATTAGAAAGAAAACTGATGAGTTCACAGTTATGTGAGGGATTTTAGCATACCTGTATTAAAATGGGTAGGTAAACAGAAAATTAGTCAAGAATATAGGGAAAATTTGAACAGCACAACTGATGAAGTTGATCTAATACATTTAGAAAATTTTGTACCCAGCAAATAGAGAATATGTGTTATTTTTTACCACACAAGGAATACTTAGAAAACTGTATGCTAAATCATAAAAGAAATCTCCAAAAATTAAGGTAACCAGAATCTATAGACCAGATTCTCTTACCACAGTAATTAAACTTGAAACCAGCAATAAAAATAAATTTTTGAAAATCTAATCTGATTAGAAACTAGAAAATACACTTACAAGTAACTCATAGTTTAAAGAGGAAGCTTGAAAAGAGCCAGCAGAGTAAAGAATGAAGTAGGTAGATGGAAGACCATATTAAAGATTATAATTTTTTTATATCATGATGGCAAATGATAAGACTAGTAAAATTGGCAGTATAGGTATTACTTGAACCTCTATTCCTATTCAGGGTTTATTTGGACATTAATACTATTTTTCTTTAGAAGACGGCCAATGTGAGCTAATAAAAATATAGGACTCAAAATATATATTACAAATTTATACATTTATTGTCAAATTTTTGGGAGTATATTTTTCCATATAACCAGAAAATTAACTATAAAACTATTTAAGTGAAAACATCAAAATGTAGAATTACTTTATTGTTGTTTATTTTAAAGATTTTTATTATGGCCTTTAATAAATAATTCTTTTTATATATTTAAGATATTTTTCTTTCTCTTCTTGTAGGTCACTCAAATGAGTCGTCCAGACCTGATTCTCTTTCTGATGAAATACCTGATGGCTCTCATAGTTGGTATTCCCTCCATATTTTGGGTTGGAAGCAAAAAGACATGCTTTGAATGGGCCAGTTTTTTTCATGGTCGTAGGAAAAAAGAGTAAGTTGAAGTAAATTATCACAATGTTCACAGACTTCACATTCACGTCAATGTTTTTGTGTTGCTTACATTAAAATAATTTGGATTATAACTTCAGCTGCCATCAGTTAAGACTGGCATAGTAGCATGTCTTAATTAAAAACTAAAAACTTGGTTTGGCTCAGTTGGTTGAGCATTGTCCTGTGCAACAAAAAGTCACTGGTTTGATTCCCGGTCAGGGGTTGGATTTCTGATCAAGACACATGCCCAGGTATGGGCTCTCTCCCCAGTTAGGAGTGGGGGAGGGGCATGCAGGAGGCAGCCAATTGATGTTTCTCTCTCTCTAAAATCAATAAAAAACATTTTAAAAATAATATAAAAAGCTAAAGACGTGGCCCTTGCTGGATAGCTCAGTTGAGTAGGGTGTCATCCCAGTACACCAAGGTTGCATGTTCAATCTCCAGTCAGGATACATACAAGAATCAATCAATGAATGCATAAATAAGTAGAACAATAAATTTATGTTTCTCTCTGCCTCCCTCTCAAATCAATTAAAAAAAAAAGCTAAAGACTTCTCTTCCTTACTAAGATATGAAGGAAGGTCAACCTTTATTTTTAAAAATCCAAATTATAATTTTTCTTAAAATTAAAAACAAAGTAATGCTTTTATATACATTCTTATATTATGCTCTTGATATTCCTGTGAGGGTTGGTATGTATTATAATCTTTGTGTTACAGATGAGAAAACAGACACACAGAGGTTAAGTGCCTTGGCCTAAGTCACACAGGTATTAGATTAGGCTTCCATTTCAAATTGTTCTTCCAAGTAAAACATAAATTATTTAAAGAGATAGCATGCTATTCCATTCTGATATAGTACACATTAAAGCCAATATAGAAAAATATTATTTCATTAGATAACATGAAATATGTTTAAGAAAGTATTTTAATTCAATTCATAGTTGGCCACACTGCATATTAGAATATTATGGTAATGGTAAGACTTGCTGAAGCAGTCTTTTGAGGGCACATTTAAAGAATCTTTAATTTTTAATTTTTTTGAACCCTTAGTTCATAAAATAAAACAAGGTTCTTCAATATTCACAAAGGAACAAATTATTTTAAACTTTTTACTCAGAATCTTATATGAACATCATATCTGAATTCTAAATTAGTAGAATAACTTATGGATAGGGTCCATGGAAAGTGGGTTTTGAGAGATATTCTTAAGATTGTATTTAAAATGTTGTGCCTTGTATGGGTTAATGTACTTTCTTTTTTTTTTAATTAAATCTTTACTGTTCAGATTATTACAGTTGTTCCTCTTTTTCCCCCCCATAGCTCCCCTCCACCCGGTTCCCACCCCACCCTCTGCCCTTACCCCCCCCCCAACTGTCCTCAGCCATAGGTGTACGATTTTTGTCCAGCAACCCCCACACCCCTTCCTCGCCCCCCGAGAATAGTCAGTCGACTCCCTTTCTATGCCCCTGATTCTATTATATTCACCAGTTTATTCTGTTCATCATATATTTTATTCACTTGATTTTTAGATTCACTTGTTGATAGATGTGTATTTGTTGTTCATAATTTGTACCTTTACCTTTTTCTTCTTCTTCCTCTTCTTAAAGAATACCTTTCAGCATTTCATATAATGCTGGTTTGGTGGTGATGAACTCCTTTAGCTTTTTCTTGTCTGTGAAGCTCTTTATCTGACCTTCAATTCTGAATGATAGCTTTGCTGGGTAAAGTAATCGTGGTTGTAGGTTCTTGCTATTCATCACTTTGAATATTTCTTGCCACTCCCTTCTGGCCTGCATAGTTTCTGTTGAGAAATCAGCTGACAGTCGTATGGGTACTCCCTTGTAGGTAAACTGACTGTTTTTCCCTTGTTGCTTTTAAGATTCTCTCTTTGTCTTTTGCTCTTGGCATTTTAATTATGATGTGTCTTGGTGTGGTCCTCTTTGGATTCCTTTTGTTTGGGGTTCTCTGCGCTTCCTGGACATGTAAGTCTATTTCTTTCACCAGGTAGGGGAAGTTTTCTGTCATTATTTCTTCAAATAGGTTTTCAATATCTTGCTCTCTCTCTTCTTCTGGCACCCCCATAATTCGGATGTTGGTACGCTTGAAGTTGTCCCAGAGGCTCCTTACACTATCTTCATATTTTTGGATTCTTTTTTCTTTTTGTTTTTCTGGTTGGGTGTTTTTTGCTTCTTTGTATTTCAAATCTTTGACTTGATTCTTGCGATCCTCTAGTCTGCTGTTGGAACTCTGTATAATATTCTTTGTTTCAGTCAGTGTATGCTTAATTTCTAGTTGGTCCTTTTTCATATCCTCGAGGGTCTCACTTGCTTTCTTGAGGGTCTCACTAAATTTATTGGCGGTTTCTAGAAAATTCTTGAAAAACCTTATAAGTGTGGTTTTGAACTCTATATCCAGTAGTTTGCTTTCCTCCATTTCTGTCATTTGTGACCTGTTTGTCTCCACATTTTGGCTGCTTCCCTGTGTTGGTAGAATGGCTTTGTGTGCTAGGTGTCCTGTAGGGCCCAGTAGCTCAGCCTCCCCAATTACCTGAGATGGACACTCTTGGTACACCCCCTTGTGGGCTTTGTGCACAGTCTTGTTGTAGTTATGCCTTGGTTGTTTTAGGTGTCACTGGGAGGAATTGACCTCCAGGCCAATTGGCTGTGAGAATCAGCTGTAGTTATGGTGGGAGAACTTCTGTGCTGAAGACACCCTTCTGGGGCAAGACTTGCTTCAGTGGGGCTTTGGTGCTCACTGAGTCTGCCCCCTGAGTGTGTCCCTTATGGATCTGAGGAATTGTAATCTGGATGGTCCCACTCTGACCACTGGGTACACTGGCTCTTGGATCTCTAAGGAGGTGCTAATTTAGCCTCTGCCTGAGGCTACCCAGCAGGAGCTATGGAGAGATCTGCAGATTCCTCTTCTTTGTTTGGAGTTTGGAGGTGCCCAGATGAGGCCCAGCTGTGAAGCAATGCAAGCTGCTGTGGGGCCTTGGGCCTTCTTTTGGATGTTTTGGGTTTCTCTGACCCAGCTGCAGTTAGTTAGGTATTTTTAGATTGTAAAGGGCCAGGGCATTCATATGCAAAAGCCTCTGCACACAGCTTGGGTGGGGCGGGGTCTCTGGGAATCAACCAAGCGGAGCAAACAGCTATGGCTGATCCTCAGCCCTGCCCGAAGAGGCCCAAGGTCTCACTGTTCCGCGGTAATCGCTGCAAGCATCTCTGAGAGAAAGCCACCCTCGAGTTCTTCCCGATGCCAGACAGTCCAGTTTCTCCCCGTATGAGTCTGGGTCCCCAGAGACTCGCCCGGAACTGGCGTTCAGAGTAGTCGGGAGCTTGTGTCTCCCTCCCGATTGAAAAAGACAGCCATGTCCTCAGTTGCCAGCCCTTTCCACATGCGCCTCCGTACCTCTGCACTTTACTTCCACACCTCTGAGTCTCAGTGTACTTTTCTCTTTCCTTCTAGTTGTAGAATTTCCACTCAGCCAGCCTTCCTGTGGTTCTGGATGATGTCTGTTTTGTCTTTTAGTTGTATTTTTGAAGTGGTTGTGCGAGGCAGCAATTTCCGGTGTTTACCTATGCCCTCATCTTGGTTTTCTCGAGGGTTAATGTACTTTCACTATGCAACTTTTAAAGTGCCTCAATAACAAAAATCTGTATTTTCTAAAATATTAGTGATTAGTAGTTTCTCTTAAACAGTTTAAATTGAAATAAAATAATCACATTTAAAATATATATATTTCTTACATTCTGAGACTGCTACTAGTGATATCAGATCATGTATTTCTCCTTTAAATACAGTTTCATAGGGCAGAGAGGGAAAGAAGGGGAAAGATGCATTCAACAGCAACCACAAAAATATATTTTCTAGGCATTAATTCATTCTTTAAGAAGTCTTTATTGAATGCTTACTGTGTGCCATGAACTATTTTGCAATGCCAGGGATTCAATAGCAAACAAAGCAGGACAAGTTCCTGCTTTCATGGAGTCTTCTTTGTAGGATTTACTGTGATTTATCTGTGTATTTGTGAACATTTTAAATATATTTTAATCACTACAACATAAAGCTGAGGAAGGGACTTGAATTAAACATTCCTGGTCACCTCTGGATCATCCTATATAATAAAAGGGTAATATGCAAATTATCCCCTGACCGGGAGTTCGACTGGAGTTCAACCAGGGGGCGGGGCCGGCTGGCCAACCTCCCCTGTCCCCTCCCCCTGGCTGGCCTGGCCCAATTGGCCTCTATCGGGGCAAGCCGGCTAGACCCCACCCATGCACAAATTCATGCACCAGGCCTCTAGTAGACAAATAATTCTGTATGGGGTTGTATTGGAAATTCCACATAGAGCTACCCAACCTACCCTTATGAGGAATCATTCTAGTTATTGGGAGATCCTGGTTGGGCCAGAATCTTTTTCACACTGATAAAAGTTCCCCAGGATCCTTTTACTTGGTTTTCTGCAACCATGGATACCTCCTCAGCAAAGTCATTGTGGTCCTCCAAGCTAGGACGGTGCTATTTTTGACTTACTCTTTCTTCTATTTAGTTTTTGACACATTGTTTTCAGGATTTTTTTTTTTTAATATATTTTATTGATTTTTTACAGAGAGGAAGGGAGAGGGATAGAGAGTTAGAAACATCGATGAGAGAGGAACATCGATCAGCTGCCTCCTGCACACCCCCTACTGGGGATGTGCCCGCAACCAAGGTACATGCCCTTGACTGGAATCGAACCTGGGACCCTTCAGTCCGCAGACCGACGCTCTATCCACTGAGCCAAACCGGTCAGGGCTTCAGGATTATTTAAACATTGTTTTATCATTACTTGATGATTGGTTTCTAAGCCACTTAAACTTAAGTTTGATCCCTGACTACTGGTTTTGTTGTGGAAAGTCCATTGATCCCTTCAAACCTCAGTTTTTCATCTATAAAATGGGGACCACAATATTTATTCTTAATAGATACCTAATATCCTCTTAGAAATATTCTCTCAGGACATTCGTCTCCATAACAAAAACATTATTAAGAAGAATAGCCCTGGCCCAAACAGTGTGGCTCAGTGGTTGAGGATCAACCTTTGAACCAGGAGGTCACAGTTCGATTCCCAGTCAGGGCACATCCCCAGGGGTGTGCAGGAGGCAGCCAGTCAGTGATTCTCTCTCATCATTGATGTTTCTGTCTCTATCTCCCTCTCCCTTCCTCTCTGAAATCAATAAAAATATATTGAGAAAAAAAAAGGGTAGTCCTGGCCATTGTGGCTCAGTTGGTTGGGTGGTATTGTCCTGTGCACCAAAAGGTTGCTGCAGCTTCGATTCCTGGTCAAGGTACATGCCCTGGTTTCATGTCACGATCCCTGGGGCAGGGGCATATAGGAGGAAGCTGATTGATGTTTTGCTCTCACATTGATGTTTCTCTCTCCCTTTCTTTCTCTCTAAAAATCAATTTTAAATAAAATGATTTTTTAAAGGATCAAAGAAGAATATATTTAAAATACCTGGCACAATGCAGGTACTTAACAAATGTCAGTTTTCGTTTAGCCCTTCTACCCAAGTTCTAAAAACAACAACAATGCTTTTGTAATTTGAAAAGAGAATAATGCACTTTCTCACTGTATGATCCAATCTGTACATTTTTGAGGTTGTTGTTTTTTTAATGAAATTTTTTTATCTAATTTTAACTTTAATCCTGACTCTCAAGTCACTGATTTACATAAACTGAGACACGGATCTTTGCAACAATTTAATTGGCTCTTTTATTAATTTAATTACTCCTTTTTTCATCATCATAAACATTTGCTTTTAACACTTTCATAGCAGTTAAAAACTTTTGCTCTTGACAATAATTTATCTCCTTAATTTTTTTCCTTAAGCCTTTAATATGTCTGAGACTTAATTATATGTTTGCTTAAAGTAATTTTTCATGTTTTTGTTCTAATTATGACCACTCACGTTTATTCCAGCATTAGACAACTGCTTTTACCAGAAAATTAAGTTGTAGCCTTAAAACAACTGCTCTTATAAGTTAAAAAATGTATCTGAGGCCTCCATTACTTCCATAAACAATGCAATTAAACAATTCCTCTATTTTATAGTAATATCTTTGTAATAATTTAGTGCCCTTGCAAATCATAAAATTCTTTTTTTTATTTAAATATATTTTTTTATTGATTAAGACACCACACATGTGTCCCTATACCCACGCCACCCCCAACCCCTCCCCTCATGCCCCCACCCCCCCGCTGTCCATGTCCATTGGCTAGACCTACATGCTTGCATGTAAGTCCTTTGGTTGATCTTTTCCCCTTACCCCCACCCTCCCCTACCTTCCCTCCAAGGCCCGACAGTCCAATCAATGCCTCTCCGTCTCTGGATCAGTCCTTGTTCATCAGTTTATGATGTTCACCACATTCCACAAATGAGTGAGATCATGTGGTATCTATCCTTCTCCGACTAGCTTATTTCACCTAGCATAATGCTCTCTAGTTCCATCCATGGTGTGGCAAATGGTAAGAGTTCCTTTTTCTTCTTCCTCTTCTTAAAGAATACCTTTCAGCATTTCATATAATGCTGGTTTGGTGGTGATGAACTCCTTTAGCTTTTTCTTGTCTGTGAAGCTCTTTATCTGACCTTCAATTCTGAATGATAGCTTTGCTGGATAAAGTAATCTTGGTTGTAGGTTCTTGCTATTCATCACTTTGAATATTTCTTGCCACTCTCTTCTGGCCTGCATGGTTTCTGTTGAGAAATCAGCTGACAGTCGTATGGGTACTCCCTTGTAGGTAACTGACTTTTTTTCTCTTGCTGCTTTTAAGATTCTCTCTTTGTCTTTTGCTCTTGGCATTTTAATTATGATGTGTCTTGGTGTGGTCCTCTTTGGATTCCTTTTGTTTGGGGTTCTATGCGCTTCTTGGACTTGGAAGTCTATTTCTTTCACCAGGTAGGGGAAGTTTTCTGTCATTATTTCTTCAAATAGGTTTTCAATATCTTGCCCTCTCTCTTCTTCTGGTACCCCTATAATTCTGATGTTGGTACGCTTGAAGTTGTCCCAAAGGCTCCTTACACTATCTTGGTATTTTTGGATTCTTTTTTCATTTTGCTTTTCCGGTTGGGTGTTTTTTGCTTCTTCATATTTCAAATCTTTGACTTGATTTTTGCGATCCTCTGGTCTGCTGTTGGGAGTCTGTATAATATTCTTTATTTCAGTCAGTGTATGCTTAATTTCTAGTTGGTCCTTTATCACAACTTCGAGGGTCTCATTAGATTTCTTGAGGATCTCACTACATTTATCGGCGGTTTCCATAAAATTCTTGAAAAATCTTAGAACCGTGGTTTTGAACTCTATATCCAGTAGTTTGCTGTCCTCCATTTCTGTCATTTGTGACCTGTTTCTTTGTCTTCGCATTTTGTCTGCTTCCCTGTGTTGGTAGAGTGGTTTTCTGTGCTAGGTGTCCTACAGGGCCCAGTGGCTCAGCCTCCCCAGTTACCTGAGGTGGACACTCTTGGTGCACCCCCTTGTGGGCTTTGTGCACAGTCTTGTTGTAGTTATGCCTTGGTTGTTTTAGGTGTCACTGGGAGGAATTGACCTCCAGGCCAATTGGCAGTGAGAATCAGCTGTGACCACAGTGGGAGAACTTCTGTGCTGAAGACACCCTTCTGGGGCAAGACTTGCTCCAGTGGGGCTTTGGTGCTCACTGAGTCTGCCCCCTGAGTGTGTTCCTTATGAATCTGAGGAGTTTAATCTGGATGGTCCCACTCTGACCACTGGGTACACTGGCTCTTGGATCTAAGGAGGTGCTAATTAAGCCTCTTCCTGAGGTTACCCAGCAGGAGCTACGAAGAGATATGCAGATTCCCCTTCCTTTTTTTGGGGTTTGGGGGTGCCCAGATGAGGCCCAGCTGTGAAGCAATGCAAGCTGCTGTGGGGCCTTGGGCCTTCTCTTGGAAGTTCTGGGTCTGTCTAGCCCAGCTGCAATTTGTTAGGTAATTGTCAGTTTGCAAAGGACCCGGGCATTCATATGCAAAAGCCTTTGCAGCAACCTGGAAGGGGCGGGGTCTCGGAATCAATAGGGCGGAGCAAGCAGCTATGGCTGATTCTCAGCCCTGCCCTAAGGGGCCACACGTCTCAGTGTCCCGGTAATTGCTGCCAGCACTTCTGAGGGAAAGCCGCCCTCAAGTTCCGAGTTCTGCCTGCTGCCAGACCGTCCAGTTTCTCCCCGTATGAGCCCTGGGACCCCAGAGATTTCCCGGAACGGGAGTTCAGAGCAGTCGGGAGCTTGTGACTCCCTCCGGATTCAAAAAGACAGCCGCCGCGTCCGCCTCCGTACCTCTGCACTTCACTTTCGTAGTTCCTCTGAGTCTGTGTGCTCTTCTCTTTCCTTCTAGTTGTAGAATTTCCACTCAGCCAGCCTTCCTGTGGTTCTGGATGATGACCGTTCTGTCTTTTAGTTGTATTTTTGAAGTTGTTGTGGGAGGCAGCAATTTCCGGTGTTTTTCTATGCCGCCATCTTGGTTCCTTCAAATCATAAAATTCTTTAGCTGAAAGAGACTTTTTAGAAATGATTAATATAACTTCATTTTATAGATAAGGAAAATGAAGGAGGTAGTGACTTGCCTAAGATCACATATTTATTGATAAAGTTGAAACTAAAATTTTTATTTTCTTATTCTAGCACAGATCTCTTTTTGTCTATCACTTTAGAGAACAGATTGACACGAATTTTTTAAAAATATATTTTTATTGATTTCAGAGAGGAAGGGAGAGGGAGAGAGAGACAGAAACATCAGTGATGAGAGAGAATCATTGATTGGCTGCCTCCTGCACACCTCACACTGGGGCTCGAGCCCACAACCCAGGCATGTGCCTTGACCTGGAATTGAACCGTGACCTCCTGTTTCATAGTTCGTTGCTCAACCACTGAGCCACGCCAGTTGGGCTGATTGAGATGAATTTTTGTTATATACTCTTTCATCTGTTAACAATGTTATATCTGTTCTAAAGACATTATGTGGACAGCAATTAATTTAAAGAATAACGTCAGTGCGTCACAAAATTATTGTTTGTTAGTCTATAGGAATGTTAACTGTATCTTAAACTTAGTATTTTGTTGTCTAGGATAGTGAATGAGAGCCGACAAGTACTCCAAGAACCTGATTTTGCTCAATCCCTCCTGAGGGATCCAAATACTCCTATTATAAGGAAATCAAGAGGAACTTCCACTCAAGGAACATCCACACATGCTTCTTCAACTCAGCTGGCTATGGTGGATGATCAGAGAAGCAAAGCAGGGAGTGTCCACAGCAAAGTGAGCAGCTATCACGGCAGCCTCCACAGATCTCGTGATGGCAGGTGAGTTTTATTGCTAGCTTAGTTTATTTCATATGCTGAATTAGAGTTACACAGCTTAAGGAAGAATAGCCAATTCTGAAATAGAAGTTGAACATTTTTAATTTTTTTGAACTTTGCTAGGAACAGTTGTCCCAGATTATGGTCCAATTTAAAGCCAGTCAGAGGAGTTTAAAGCTTAGACTTGCTGCAGTAAAAAATATGGAGTCATCAAAGGGTATTGAGTAGGGAGAAGGCAGGATGAAAGTGGTTATGTTAGTAAGATTAATTTAGCAAACAGTTGTGGAATACCTACTACATCAGCTACTATTCTGGGAATACAAAGATGATATAGGCATAATCTATGTTTTTAATAAGCTCACAGTTTTAAAGAATAATAATATAGTCACTACTTATGTTGTGGTTTACAACATGGGATCTGGAATGATAAGCTTCAGTTTTCCTCATCTGTAAAATGGAAATAGTAATAATATCCTTTAGGACTGTTGTAAAAAAATTAATGAGATAATATATCCAATTGCTTAGAACAGTGCCTGTCTTAGTAAGTGCCTGATTTTAACCTCTGTTATTATTGTAAGTGAACAATTAAAGTAAAATATAAGTATGATGGTACAGTTGGCCCTTCGTATCTATGAGTGTTGCATTCAGGGATTCAACCAAATGGATATGGAAAATATTGGGGGAAAAGTGTTACTTTGTTGCTGATGTGTACAATGTAGTTTGACTTATGGTGGTTGTATCTGTCTTAAAAATGTACAGACTTTTTCTTCTTGTCATTTCCTAAACAGTACAATAAAACAACTATTTACATTGCATTTACATTGTATTAGATGTTATAAGTAATCTAGAGATGATTTAAAGCAGCGGTCGCCAACCTTTCCAGACCTCAAGGACCACCTGTTGGCGACCGCTGATTTAAAGTATGTAGGGGTGATTTAAAATATATAGGGGTGTGTGTGTGTGTAGGCTATATGCAAATATACCATCTATATAATAAAGAGCCAGGGTCATAAGGACCGAAGGCTTGACCAGACCGGAAGTCAGTGCTGGGTTGCCGTGGTGACCCAGCACTGACTGGGGCTGCTAAGGGCAGCCTGACCCAGCACTGACTGCCTAGGCCCGAGGGGGCTGTGGATCAGGCCCAGAGAAAGGCCTGCAGAGAGAGACAGGGTCTGATCCATAGGTTGATTAGAACTTGCCTCTCTTTCTCTCCCGGCCTGGCCAACAGGCGCGCCTCTATTTATCTCCAGGCCTCCACCAGGGCTGCTGATCAGCCCTGCCTTTCTGATCAGGCCCTGCTGATAGGCCCAGAGACACTGACTGGCATAGAAACTGACCAATCAGAACCAAATCTGGGTGACTGTAAGAAGCCAATGGCTGCCTCGGAGGTGGAGCTTTTGACACTGATTGGCTTAGAAACTGACCAGTCAGAACCAAATCTGGGTCAACTGTGAGGAGCCAATGGCTGCCTAGGAGGCGGAGCTTTTGATGCTGACTGGCATAGAAACTGACCAGTCAGGACCAAATTGTCCAGCAGAGGAGGGCAGTTGGGGGCGAGGTCAGGCCTGCAGGGGAGGGCATTTGGGAGCAAGATCAGGCCGGTAGAGGAGGGCAGTTGGGGGCGATCAGGCAGGTAGAGGCAGTTAGGGTGTGAGATCAGGCCAGCAGGGGAGGGCCGTTGGGGGTTAGATCATGCTGGCAGGGGAGGGCATTTGGGGGCAACCAGGCTAGCAGGGGAGGGCAGTTGGGGGCGAGCAGGCAGGCGGGCTGAGGCAGTTAGGGGTGATCAGGAAAACAGACAGAGAGGTTAGGGGCAATCAGGCAGGCAGGCAGAGGGGTTAGGGGCAATCAGGCAGGTAGGCAGGTGAGTTGTTAGAAGCCAGCAGTCCCAGATAATAAGAGGGATGTCCGACTGCCAAGGGTTCCCCGATTGGAGTGGGTGCAGGCTGGGCTGAGGGAACTCCCCCTTCGTGCACGAATTTCATGCACCAGGCCTCTAGTCCTATCTAATAATAGACAAACATGGTAATTGACCATACCTTCGCTATGCCTCCCATTGGCTAATCAGCACGATATGCAAATTAACCGCCAACCAAGATGGCAGCTAATTTGTATACTGCAGGCAGGGTGAGACAGCGCCATCCCGCCTGCCCCACTGCCATCCGGGCCTGCTATTTGCCACCTGGGGCGGTGGGACGGGACAGCGCCATCCCGCCTGCCCTGCCGCCATCCAGGCCTGCTATCTGCGACCAGGGGCAGCGGGCGTCCCATATGCGACCCGACCCGGGGCAACTGGGCAGGGCAGCAGCGATCTGCCAGCCCGCCCAGCCGTCGTCCGGGTGTCCCGTGTGTGACCCAACCCAGGGCGGTAGGGCGGGCCAACATGGCTCCTCTGTCATCACAGCTCCCTTGGGGGCCTAAGCCTTTAGTCGGACATCCCCCGAGGGCTGCCAGAAGGATGTCTGACTGCAAGCTTAGGCCTGATCCCCTGGGGAGTGGGCCTAAGTCAACAGATGGACATCCCCCAAGAGGTCCTGGACTGCAAATGGGTGCAGGCCAGGCTGAGGGACCCCCCCCCCCCGAGTGCACAAATTTTGTGCACCGGGCCTCTAGTCTATATATATAAAAGCCTAAGCAACTGGCCAACCAGCTGACTGGCTGGTAGCTATGATGCGCACTGACCACCAGGGGGCAGATGTTCAATGCAGGAGCGGAAACCACAGGCATGGAAACATGGAACAGACTAATGAATCTCAGAGGAAAGGGGGGAGGGGGAAGGGCGGGAAGAGATTAACCAAAGATCTTATATGCATACTAGAAGCGTGGTGCACGGATTCATGCACCAATGGGGTCCCTCGGCCTGGCCTGTGCCCTCTCACAATCCAGGACCCCTCAGGGGGTGTTGGAGGCCCTGTGCACGGGCACCAGTGGGGTCCCTCTGCCTGGCCTGCGGCTTCTCGCACTCCAGGACCCCTTGGGGGATGTTGGGCTGCTAGTTTTAGCCCGATCCCCACAGGCCAGGCCGAGGGACCCCACCAGCACACAAATCTGTGCACCAGGCCTCTAGTTTTATATAAAGATAAGCATCCATGGATTTTAGTATCTGTGGGGGTCCTGGAACTAATCTTGGGCGGATACCAAGGGAAGACTGTGTAGTCCAGAGGTTGTCAAACTTTTTCTATAAAGAGCCACATAGTAAATATTTTAGGCTTTGTGGGTTATTCAATTTCTATTGTGACTATTCATTTATGCTGTTGTAGCATGAAAGCAGCCATAGATAATATGTAGTCAAAATGGGAATGACTATATTCCAGCCAATTTTTACTTACAAAAATAAGAAGGGCACAGGATCAGAGAAGCTTCACAGAGAGAATGAGAGAAGGGGATGTATTTTCTTGTTAAATTTGCCAATGATTAGACACTTCGAAGGAGTTTTGCAATAATTCAGTTAAGAGATGATGAAGATTAATAGGAAAGTAGTGGCAGTGGGAAGAGAGGAAGAACTGATCTGAAAAATACTTAGAAAGAAGAAATGAAAAGATAGGAATTAATGATGGAATAATAGCAACTAGAGAGAACTATATCAAATGTTTGTGCTGTTATTGTTTTCTTAACAACTTCCAGTTTGGGAAACTGAAAGAATGAAAATTTGTAGGCCTAAAATGGAAAGCATTCTATGTTAACTTTAAAACATCTGTTTCTATAACTGTCTAGTATCTTTTCAATCTCATCCTAGCCTTTCTCTCAGTCTTCTCTGTCCTGGTGTAGGATATGATTTCTATACTTTCTTTTTAGATTAAGACTTCTCATAAGATCTTTTGCCTTCTAATGGGTCAGCTACTCTAATTTTAAAAAGCAGCAGTCTTTTTTTGACTATGTTATATTTTCTATTTTTTATCTATTTTTTTCCTTGTGTATAATAAAATTATAGCCCTGACCGGTTTGGCTCAGTGGACAGAGCATTGACCTGCGGACTGAAGTGTTCCAGATTCGATTCCGGTCAAGGGCATGTACCTTGGTTGCAGGCACATCTCCAGTAGGGGGTGTGCAGGAGGAGGCTGATCGATGTTTCTCTCTCATTGATGTTTCTAACTCTCTATCCCTCTCCCTTCCTCTCTGTAAAAAAAAAAAAAAAAATCAATAACATATATTTAAAAAATTATATACAGGGTGCTTTAGGATCCCAGAGAAGAAAACCATCAAATTATCATGGAAAGTCAGAGAAAACTTCACAAACAACATTGCACTGCTACACTGAATATGATTCAGGGGAAGCACTTGGAAATTAAAGACAGGGAAAGAATATATATGCAGAGGCAAGGAGAACAGAAGTAGTTAGGTACTGGAGTATGGCTATTGCATTGTATGTATGCGTGGGCAATTGTGGTGATAAATTCAGCTTTGTATTTGAGAACGATCACTTTGGCAGCCTAGGAGAGAAGATTTTCAGTAAGCTCAGTTGGGAAGTTTCTACAGTAATTTAGGGATCCTATTTTAAGACACTCATAAGGAGGGAGGGAATTAGAATACATTTTGTCAACACCATCCTCCATGAAATAGCTATCAGCATTATATGACATTTGATATTATTAGCCTCCTCCTTTTCAATAAGGATTGGACAGTTATTTTAGTTCAGTGCTTATGCATATGCATGTGGTAATCCATATATAGAGATATATAGAAGAAAGTTAAAGTATCATTTCTGCATTCTAGGAACATATGACCTTTTAAGGAAGATAAGATATATACATAAGAACTAATTAAGTAATAGTGCAAGTCAGCATATAATTAAAACAGTGAATGCTATAGATGATTGATGTTGTGGAACTTCAGAAAAGGGAAAGATCAGATTGGCCCATGAAAGTATCTTAGAGAAGATAAATAGAGTGAATGAATGGTAACAAAAGATAAGTTCATACTGAATAGAGAATTTCTGAAGGTAATTAAACATAGGGAATTTCAGTCTCTGTAATCTGGAGCTTAGATAAGGAAATTTATAATCATTAATATAAGGAGTTGGTAATTAAAATTGTGAGAAGCCCTTAAGTCATAATTTAAAAAAGAACAGATCAAGAACAAGACCTTGGTAAAATACTTACAGTAATAATAATATAAGAAGAATAGCCAGCATATGATTCAGAGAAAGTGCTTATACTATACACATATGAGGGAATCAATAAAAAATAGTGTCATGGAATCACCATGGCAGTTAATTGCTTTTTAAATCATTCTTTTGGCATGACCTATTTTCAATACAGTTGTCTTTCCTCAGCTTGTATATATAGTATATACACACAAGTATATTGAATAACAAATGATTTTAGAAATACTGTGAGCATTTCCCAGAAATTCAGGGCCCAGAACTATAAAGGTGGCCTACTAAGGTTGTTCTATAATGTGGTACAAGAACACTAATATTGTAAGCCTCTCTGCCATGCCCAGCACCTCAGACCACATTAAACCCAAAACTCTAAACAGGGATTATCATAATTCCAAAAGCCATTTCGTGGAGATTTTTTTAAATATATTTTTTATTGATTTCAGAGAGGAAGGGAGAAGGAGAGAGAGATAGAAACATCAGTGATGAGTGAGAATCATTGATGGGCTGCCTCCTACATGCTCCCTACTGGGGATCGAGCCCGCAACCCAGGCATTTGCCCTTGACTAGAACCAAACTTGGGACCCTTCAGTTTGCAGGCCAATACTCTTATCCACTAAGCCAAACCAGCTAGGGCCATCAGTCAGTTTTTAAGTTTACTTGTTAACATTATCTTTTGGCCATCTTTTTCTCATCATCTTACGGTTTCTTGGTTATGAAATAACACACACATAAACACACACACACACACACTTCACAATACTCTAGTCCAGACTCCTTGATGGATAATTGATCTCAGTGCTATGTAAAATAAATACACTGATGCAAATACCTTACACATGTAAATCAACTTCAAAGAATAAGTAATAGGTGATTAGATGAGAAGATGGTTAGAAAAGCAAGTGGATGAGTAGGTAGGTAAAGGTAGGTAAAAAAATTTTTCTCATTTGATTCATTTGCCATATTTATTTGAATTATAATGAGTAAGACGATAAAAGTAGGTGTCAACAAGGGAAAGTCAGGGAATGCATAATGAGATACTAGTGAAATTACAGTGAATTGAATTATTCATTGTATAGAGAATCAAAGAGAGTAAATCATCTTCAAGTTTTTTTCATTTTGACTTTGGACTACACCATATTATCTTTTCAGCAAATTAACCATCCTAATTATTTTTGCCTAAGCTTATATTAAGATTAATGTACATTTTCATAGTGTATGTTAGATGGTCACAGTGGTTTAAATGATTGTCAAAATATAAATAAACTTGGTAAGTCCCACATATACAATTGAGATTAAATACTATAATTAAATTTATTTTTCTATGTAGTTGATTTCTAATTATCCATGGGCAGGTTGTTTATATTATAGAATTTTGTGGATAGCCATATATTTCACTTCAATAAATAGACATGATAACTCAATATAGTAATTTTTCTATGAAAAATGTATTCTTTGATTCATATTCATAACTAAAAAACATAGGTTTCATTTAAGAAAATATCCAATTCGTATTTTTAAGTAGTGATTTGGTGTTTTTTAATTACTCTGATATCATTCCTAGAGCTGAAGCAGATTTTTTTTTCATTTGATTTATTTGCCATATTTATTTTAAACAATACTTATGAAGTCATGATAGGTGAAAGAGCTTCAAATTAGCTGGCAGATCAAATTTGGAAAAATCTTTCACTCAGTTTAGGGCAATAATTGTTTTGCAAAATAATAATAGAATAACAAGCTTATTCTGAAATATTTTCAATTAACACTGTAATTATTTTATCAAAATATGCAAGTCAAATTTAAAACTGGAAACAAAAGATATGCTTTCTTTTATAATTTTAAAAGGACTTTTCAATTTTTAAAATCTCTGATCTAATGGAAACATTATTTAATAAGCACACTATCAAACTAGATCTCCTCAAAATTTCATGAATCAGTCTTTAAAATCTTTAAATTTTAGCCTAGACAAATGTGGTTCAGTATTTCAGCAATAACCCATGAACCAGGTCACTATTGGATTCCTGGTCAGGGCACATGCCTGGGTTGTGGAGTTGATACCCAGTGGGGGGAGGGGGGGTAATACAAGAAGCAGCCAATTGATGATCCTCTCATCATTGATGTTTCTATCTCTCTTTTCCTCTTTCTAAAATCAGTAAAGTCATAATTTTAAAAATCTTTAAATTTTATAAATGGTTCATATTGAGTCATGAGATTTGTTATAATTATGAAAGAATGATAAATAAATGCTTTGACACCCAATAGGTCTTCAGCTGCATATTAGTTATTTTGATGACTATTTTAAAAAGAAATGGCCTGCTATATTCTTTTTATTTTTAGAAACATTACTTAAAATTTAATATGTTAAAGTTATAAATTATATTCAGTTAGTTTTCTTTGAGATTTGTTATCCTAAATTAAATACTTTTTACAAAAAGGTGTACATCTGAGTGTGAGTATTCTTATATCTGATAGGGGCTCAGTGAGTCAGGATTGGAACAAAAGAAAATTTAACAGCTCCCCATTGCTGCTTTCAAAATGAGTACAACGATGGAGGAGAAGACTGTCCACAATAAGCAGTGTAGCCGTTGGCATACTCAAAAGCTGCATCTTTGTTCAGGGTACTGAGAGAATTTGCTTTAGCAGGAATATAAGTTATAGTGTATTAGTGTGTTGTTATGTATATTTAAGTAGATGTACCTTCTATGAAATAGCATAGTATCCTCACAGCTCCGAGGAAAAATAATTAACACCATTTACAGTAGTTAATTGAATTGTTAACTGGGCTATCTGGAAAGAAGCTGTCAGCACATGCTGTCATTGTTGCTTGCCAGTTCATTCATCTTTTTTCCTTTTCCTTTTTGGTTACACTAATTTCTCCTCTAATTTCATATGCTCCCTCTTCCTAATCTTTGTAAATTTTAGTAAAATTTGAGTTACTGTACTTCTGATTATAGCCAATTTTCTACACTCCTGAGGCCAGTGCCATCTTTCCTCCATTGTTTTTCCTCCTCTTCTTGAACTCATCCCATAAACCATAACTTATTTGAATGAGAAAAATTAACCTTAATTTCTGTCCTTTTGCAAAGAATAGGACCTTAATTCTGAATCCAATGAGTATATTTTCTTCCCTTTTTTTGGTTAGCCATATGAATAATTCTACAGTGTTAATGAAATTGCTGAATATCATCAAAGGTGGTGGTTACTTTTTCACTTGTTGGTTTCCTAATTATTTCATTTAGTGCAGCATTTTCATGAAAAATTTAGTGTTATTTTTCTAGTGTGTTCTATTACTTGCTTCAAAATAAACTCTCCTGTACTAGGTATACTCCCTGCAGTTACAGAGGAATGGAAGAGAGACTACCTCATGGCAGCATGTCACGACTAACAGATCACTCCAGGCACAGCAGTTCTCATCGTCTCAATGAACAGTCACGACATAGCAGCATCCGGGATCTCAGTAATAATCCTATGACTCACATCACACATGGCACCAGCATGAACCGAGTTATTGAAGAAGATGGAACCAGTGCTTAATTTGTCCTAAGGTGGAAAATTTGTGCCGTTTATAAAGCAGATTTTATTCTTTGCCTTTAGCATGACTGACTGCTGTAACTCACTGTTATCATGCGTTCAGTCAGGTGCAGATTGTGTCCATTGGAAGAGTAAATTTTTGCTTTTTATATTGCATCAAACTTGGAATATTAAGGCGTCTTAAAATTATATTGTCACATAAATAATTCTTATTTCTAGGTAATGAAGAGAGAATTATTTGTCTGGTAAGCATTTTTATAAACCCACTATTTTATATTTAGAAAAATCCTAAATGTGTGGTGACTGCTTTGTAGTGAACTTTCATATATAATGTCAACTAGTTGTGAGACAACATTCTAGTCGTTCTGTTAATAAAACAAAATTTCAGAATTAAAGAATTTTCTATGCAAGGTTTATTTCTCGGATGAATGGTAGGATTTTGTAGTTTTATTTCCATAAGTGAAAAAGAACTGTGGTTTTAAACTGTAAGAGAATTTGATACATCAGCAAGGGTATTTTAACTGATAAAATATAAGATCAACAGAAGAATCTGATTAGAGTATTGAAGGCTCTTTCAAAATTCTATCAAAATAAATTTCATCCAGAGAGATACAGGATTAGGAATATCAGTGGCCATTTTTTCCCTATAAGTGAGCTGTTTTTATTACTTTTGTAAATATTCCTTTTACTGGCAGTGTTTTTATAACTTATCCATATGCATGTTGGAAAAAATCATTTGTAGCCTTTTCCCATGTCGTAATATTAATTCGTAGAGAACTTTATGTTCAGATCTGTTCCATGGAGACGTAATAAGATAAGCATCATACATTATAAGGTTTTTTTGTGGTAACCACAATTACAAAATGGCAAAATGTTTTCTCTGTATTCATTGTTGTATTTTTCTGCAGTGAGATGTGATCTTGCCAAAGCCACCAGATCTTGACATCCAGCCCCTCCTATCAATGAGTTGATTGTCTGTACTTGCATTGCCCAGTAGCAAATAGGCTACAGCTTTTGCCCCCTCCCTTGTATTCAGATTCTGGATCAGTCTTGTTTACAGCTGAAATATATATAACCTCGATCCAAAGTGGTGATTTATATGGGGTATCTGAAAAATCACTGTAACTAAATGAAGCATGATTAGTCTTGCTGTGAAGTATCTTGTAATCTTAAAAATATCAACTCAAAATTTTTGACATTTTGTCTTGTAACATAAATAATTTACAATAAAAACTGGTAACTGTATTAGGCATGAAATTGATCAGAAGAGAAAGAAAATTTTTGGAAAATGCTGAATGTATTGTATAGAAAAACATTTTAAACAAGCATGTCCTCAACCCCGACTAGAGGTAAGAATCATTTGGGGAACCTCTGATGCTCAAGCCTTCCTCTCATTCAGATGAGAATTGATAGGTTTTTAAATAAGTTTTCTAGGTGATTCTAATCTGTAGCCAGGCTTCAGGCTGTTTTGAACTGATTTGCTTCTGTTGATGATCTGATGGCGTCTCATTATATCACGCGAAAATGTAGGTGGACTCAATATTATACTTTTACATCATTACCTGATACAAAATTGTTTTCCACTTTATTTGTCCATTATAAAATGTGAAATGCTGACCCCACTCCCCAAAATTCTCATTCTGTAACTCAAAGATGGTAAGAATTTAAAATCTGTAGTTATAAAAATACCATTGGTGATTCTTACGCAGATAATCCAAGAATGACACCTTAGAAAATATTCTAAACTCCAGAGAGGCTTGACTTGGTCATTTGCTGGCTTTTGACCTTTAAAAAGTTAACTTCTCTGAGCTTTAGTTCCCTTGTTTGTAAATGAAGATAAAAGATAAATACCTACCTCACAAAGTTGTCAAATAGGGGAGCAAATGAAAAATCATATGAAAACTCTTTGAAAACTAAAATATAAGGGATTAAGATTATTGAGGATTTAAGAGATTTATTTGAGGGCTACTATCATACATTGCTTGACATGTGTTTGGTTCATGTGTACTTTTACTCTCTTTTTTAAAAAACAAAAAGTAACAAAGAATTAGGTGTTGAAAAAGTAGCTTTTATCAGACACAAAAGTCAGTTTTCTGGTAATAATTTATATATCATGTTTTTTTCAAAGTACATGTTAATATTTTTGTTACTAATTCCGCACAAGATATATTTGAACATTTGGCCCAAAATGTAATTTTTTCCTCTCTGTCTTGTCTTTCTCCTTGGAATTGGAGTAAGTGATCAAGACAATATAAATTCCCTCATAACTGACATTTAGTAAACCTTTTCTCTGAAGGCCAAATTTACAACTTATTTATAAATAAATGAACAATTCATGAGGCTTTTGTCTGAGAATCTCTCCTGAGAACAGCATGAGAGGACCAACACAAGCATTCAGAAACAAAAATAAGAAGTTAAAATAGAAGGTACCAGTTTGAGCTCAAAGATGTTGTCAGTCATCGCCATCTGCATTATGTTATCAATTGCCAAAATGTTAATTGATTTTCTTGTACAAGTGGCCAAGTATAGACAGTTAATTGAACATTATGAAAATACTTATTTTTGCTTCTTGATTTTATGTATTCATTTATATCTTCTCTATTTAACTGTTGATATATATGTAAATGCTATATTGACATTTCAGTTCAGAAAAATATTCTAAACTCCAGAGAGGCCTGGCTTCTATTGACATTAAGATACTGGAAGTATCTTAATTTTGCAGCACAAAATTTATTTAATATTGTTAATTCATTGTTTTGAATAACAATATTTAGTTTGGGCCATGTTATTTATCAAACTAGTGCTCCAAATTAATTTGTTTTTCAAAGACAGTTGAAGAACTATATGTAGCGAACAGCATTTCAAGTTTCAACTAGCTTAAACCAATTTGAGCAAGTCTGGACAGCTTTCTTACCATATGTTTAATTTGTGTTGTGATTGGCACATGATAATGTTTAGTGTTTTGTTCGTTCAATTGACAGCTGAGAAAATAATAGTGCTCTCTCAAATGTTAATATATAATCAAAAGTTTTCAAAAAGTACTTTGATTTTACCAATATTGTGTTTAATTTATTCAGTAGTTAAAAAATCCAAGACAATATTAAGCTCAAAATAATAGCTTCAAAGGATAATTGATTAATAATTCAATAACTAGCACAGGGCTTAGTACATAGTAAATTTTTTAATAAATGAATAACATGTCATACAACTCACTTTTACTCTAACAGTGAGTCTCACTTCAAAAAAAATTGAAGGATCTGAATTTAAACTAAGTGAAATTAACTCTGCTTTACCAAAATAACATGTAACAAGTAATAAGAAATAAGTAAATTATACCAAATGAAGCATATTTCTCCTATAGTAACAGTCCATATTACTATTTAAACTAAAGTATATATATATAAAGTATATATACACACACACATACACAAACACACAAACTTGAACCAACACTTTATATTCATTTTTAATGGTGAGAGCTATTCTTAGAAGTATTTAGGCTCTTTTTGGTTTTATGTGAAATTAAATCTTTGTGTATTAGTTGGGTGAATAAAAAAAACGTATATATACTTTAACAGCTGATAAACCAATTTTGAAAATGAACTGTATGTTAATAAACACTGACTTTACAATCAAAAAAAAAAAAAAAAAAAAAAAAAAAAGAAGTATTTAGGCTCTTTTTGGTTTTATGTGAAATTAAATCTTTGTGTATTAGTTGGGTGAATAAATACTTAAGCAAACCTTCATTAGTAATAATTTTCTCTTTCTGCTTCTTCTTAAAGCAGATTTAGAAATCTAAGAATCTCTTCAAATTAGAAAATTTTTTCAACATTTTAACCTACCTCATTAATTTCTTTGTGATAATAGCTGGAAATAACTGAAATTTGTAACTATCTTGATTTAGGCTATAGCCCCATGAAATAAAATGAACAACTTACATTTTTTTTATAAAATAGAGGATCATTGGCTAAAACTTAGAAAACATTAATATACCAAAATTTCACTCTGGTGATATTTATACCACTTTTGACATGCCAAAGGTACATTTATATATATTATCATACTTGGATGACTTACATAGTCTAGTGTAATGAAAATTCCACTGGGCTTGGAATTCAAAGACCCATAATTATGGTGTGAAGTGCACAGGTCATTTAACTTCTCTTAGTCTCAATGTCTTCAGTGTAAAATGAGGATAAGGCAATTTTTGGTCCCAACTTACCTCACAGAATATGTGAGGATCAAATGAGATAACATGTATTATAATGCTCTGTAATCTATAAATTGCTCTATTTACATGTTTCTGTTAGAATTTGGGGGTTGTAGAAAACAAGGATATGGTCTTCAGTGTTATATAGCAATAACAACAAAGTAGGCAATTAGACCAGTGTTCATTCGGTACAATGTTTAAATCAACAATCCAGTTATCCTTTTAAAAGTGAGATTCTTTTTCAAGAGTAGCTCTGCCCTTAAATTGTGTTGGCTCTCTAAAATACCACAGTATGCTCTCAAATTTTGTATGATGAATTTGTAGGTCCCTTCCAACAGAAATTAGGGATCTCCAGTATATGTTACCTTTGATATGGAATTATATAAAATCGCTTGGCTTCACTGAAAGTTGTAAGAAAAATATAAGAAGTGTAAGCCTTATAACTTGTTTTCTTTGAGGACTTTCATGTGCCTAATTCTTCCTGATTAAGAACAAGTTTTAAAAGGTGATTACTGTAAGTTATTGGTTTTCATCACTGCAAAACTTTAAATTGTAAGGTATTGTCTTAATTGTTTGTATGTTTGTATTATGTAGTTTTTTAAGCCTGCATAAAAGGTAATAATTTCTCCATTTTTTTCCTCATGTAAGCAGACAAAAGATAACTTTATAAAACCAAGATTTACAGAGGAACTCATGATTCCTTTACATTTCTTTTATCCTTTTTTACAACTGATTAAAATGAGATAAAGTGTTTACATTTAATTCAGCTATGTTTCTTAGTAGCTGTATAATTTTATACATTATTCTTATTTCTGTCTATTTTATATGAAAAAATAATGTTGACATCTCCTCATAATTTAATTCTCTTTCCTTCTCTTTTGTTCCAGTTGTATGAATTATAGGAAGATCAAGCATCCTTTACCTCCCTTATAACTATAATCAGTTTCCTAGAGTTTTTTCCTAATTTAACTTTAATCCTTGATTTCTTTTATAGCCAAATTCATATAGAATTATAATTTTCTCTCAGGATCCAAAATCTAGGGGAAAATGTTAAGGTCTGCCTAGCCATCTTTGTAGACATTACTATTTTGGTTGATATATAAAGATTTAATATAATTAGTTAAGCCTATTTCTTTTTCTCCGATTTCTCTAATTAGTAAAAATTTTTTGCTGTAAAGATAAAAGAAAGTTTCACTTATGTTTTAGCCAGGTACTATACCAGTACAACATTACTTCCTTTAAGAGTAGTTCAATCTATTTAAACGCATTGAAGGATAAGTTTCTTCAGATTATTATTTTTTTAAAGAATCACCTATCTCAGAAAATTTATTGTGCCCTTTCTTGGACATTTTTCAAGGTATGATAACATTGCTCATAATTTATTCCTATTTTATTGGCCACTGTCACCAGTTTAACTTAATACAAAAAGTTTTTTTTATATTGTAATTTAGATTTTGAGAACTCAGAGTTCCATAATTTTGGTAATTATCATTCACTAGTAACATCTATATATATAAAACCCTAATATGCAAATAGACCAAACAGTGGAACAACCGAACAACTGAAAAACTGGTCGCTATGACATGTGCTGAACACCAGGGGGCGCAGGTAGAACATGGCGGGTGTCAGCAGCAGGCAGCAGAGCATGGAACATGGCAGGCATTGGCCGAGGCAGGATGGTGGAGCAGATGAGCAGGGGTGCCAGACCAAGGCGGGGCACCGGTCACTGTTATTGGGGCAAGCCTCTGGTAGTTACTGAAAATTCTTTGCTCCCGTGTGCCATGGTCCCGCCAGGTGCTTGCACCTGCTGCCAGCACCAGAGCCACTGCTCGCACCTGCTGCCGGTGCCCAGCGCCAGCCCCGATCGCTCAGCACTGTCAGCAGGTGCAAGCGGCGGCTGCTGGCCCCGATCACATCTGAGGGCTTCTCCACCTCCCCCTGCTCCTGAGGGGTGATTGGGGCAGCAGCTGCCACTCGCGTCTGCTGATGGCTCAGAGCAACTGGGGCTGGTGCCATCAGCGCATGGGAGCGGTGGCGGCAGGAGCAGGGCTGCGGCAGGAGGGGCTGGGCAGGGGCACAGAGGATGGGCCGAAACCACCCCCCCTGTGCCCACCACAGCCTTGCGACTCACAGTTACTTTCAAGGTGCACGAATTTGTGCACTGGGCCCCTAGTAACTATTTATAAGACTAATATTTTTCAAGCTTT